TCAGGTGGGCTTTAATGAGCCCCAATGCTCTGTTCCAAAAATGGTTTGGGAGAATTTGGCGAATATCCCTATTTGGAATGCATGAATCTGGCACACAGTGCGAAAAGCACCTGCCTTCACAACAGAACAGACCGTGGAGGAAGCTTGGTTTAAAATGAACGATCCTTTAAAACATGTATACAGATACAAAATACACAATTGCTGTACTGCTGCTTGTAACATACATACATAAAAATACATAAAAAGCTTCACATCATATTTGTATTACCTAGCTGCACACAACATGTAATAATAATACCACTCTATTCTACGTTGGTTGTACCTCACCTGGAATAACCCTGTGTCAAGTTCTGGGCAGAACAAGTCAAGAAGGATATTGACAAACTGGAAAAGTGACCAAAATGATCAAAGGTTTGGAAGCCAAGCTCTATGAGGAGTGGTTTAGGGAGCAGGGTCTGTTTAGCTTGGAGAAAAGAAGCCTGAGAGACAGGGACACGAGAGCCATGTTTACATATTGGAAATGATGTGACATTGAGGAGAAAGGGGCAAGCTTGTTGTAGAGACTAGGACACAATGGAGCAATGGATTCCAATTGCAAGAAAAGAGATTCCACCTAAACATTCGGAAGACCTTCCTGATGGTAAGAGCTGTTCAACAGGGGAATGTGTTGCCTTTTGAGTCCAATGCAGTCTTCTTCTCTAAAGGTTTTTTAAGAGAGGTTGGATGGCATTCTGTTGCGAGGGCTTGGATTATGACTTTTTGCTTGGCAGAAGAGGGTTGGGTTGGATAGCCCTTGGGGAATAGGATGCTATGATTCCAAGTCTAGGATGCTATGATTCTATAAATGTATTCCTATCTTAAACTGTTAATATTTGGTATAAACCCTACTTTATTTTACTTTTTTTTTTTTTGCATAAATGGCAGCAATGAGCACATAACAAGGATCAAAGCATTCATCATACACCTGTTTAACCCGTGGTAGCACAGCAGGTTAAACTGCAAGCTGTAGAAAAAAAAACTTGCTGAATGGAAGGTTGGCAGCTTGAAGCCATGAGTTGAGGTGAGCTCCCGTTGTTAGCCCTAGCTTCTGCCAACCTAGCAGTTCGAAAACATGTAATGTGAGTACATCAGTAGGTACCGCCTCGGCGGGAAGGTAAAAGGCACCCATGCAACCATGCTGGCAAACATGACCAGGAGGATCTACAGACAACAGGCTGCTCAGCATGAAAAATGGAACAAGAGCACCTCTCCATGCCAGAGTTGAGCATCACCTCCAGATACAAGAGATGGAAGGGAAAACTTTGCCTTTGTTTGTATATTGTATGTCACTGTTCACTGTATAAAAGGCATTGAATGTTACCCTATATATGTGTGTACTGTAATCCACTCTGAATCCCCTCAGGGAGACAGAGCAGAATATAAATAAATTGTATTATTATTAGTGTATTATTCGTCTTAAATAAACTTGAATTCTAGACTATGTTACAGAATTGTACAAAAAGCAAAAAACTGTATTCACATTAAAGGATCAGGAAAAAAATAAGTAGTATTGTTTTGTATAAACCTTTTAAAGGCCAAACCTCTCTACTTAAGTTTGCAGGATCCTGGGAAATCATTTCATGATGAGACTGGAATGAGCACTAAAATTGAGCCTCTATGAAATAAAGAAAGCAAGAGGGAGAAGATGGGTAGCTGGAGAATGAAAACAGCATGAATGGAACGGCATTCCAAAGAAGGGGATAAGCCGAATCAATTCAAAATAAACTTTTGTGAGGACTTAATGACCTTGGCAAAGGATTGGAGATACTCACTGGGAGCAACAGGAAGACCCTAGGTCTTGGAACATGGTGCATAATTTGACTTGGACTCTTTCAAGAACCAAGGAAACTATTTTAGGAAATCAGGAAGAAATGCATAGAAGCTGCTGAGGCAGGGCTAAATCCGCCTGCGGAGACAAAAACAGGTGTATGGCACAGAGTGAGACCCGAGAGGAAAAGTGATTATACTTGGTACACTGCTGGGCCTCTAAAAAGCCCCCAGTTCCTTCACAGAATATGCTAGATAACTGCTTCAGAAAAACAAATTTTGACAGCCATGTTGGAACCCCGCTCAAATGAGTCCACTGGGCAAAGGGATGTGGCCACTCGCGTCAACATCTGTAATTGTTTCAACTCTAATTTAACTTGGTTTCCTTCTAAGCTGGGATGATGGGTTTTCAGCAAAAGTTGCCATCATAAAGGGCTGGGGATGTCTCTTTCAATGTGACTGGAATGAGGAAGAAGCCGTTGTGGGGGCATCCATTGCATTCTCACAGAGCTATAAAGAAGCCTTACATAGAGCAAGGTCATGAGTCCACACAGCCCAGGACTGTCACTTCTGACTGCTAGTATAATCCAGGTCCTCCCACAAGCCCTTCCTTAAATCTGAACATGAGACACTAGAAACCAGCATGATTTTCAAATCCTTGCCCAGCCATACAAACTCTCAGGATGTCCTCAGGCAAGTTATACACTCTCTCAACTTCAAAGGAAGGCTGAGGCAAATCCCTCTGAACCAAACTTGCCAAGAACACCCTGTCAAAGGGTTCTCTTTTTTTCTCCATATGTCGGAAATGACTTGAGGACACACAACAACAATCTGAACCTAGGACACCAACTGAACCTGGAACTTCCTCTATTATTCAGCAGTGGACGTTTCCTCAAGAAACATATACACATAGAAATCTGCTGTATTCATAGTCAAACTGTCTAGCCCAGCAAGCTCTCACTCTACGTTTGGAACAGTTACACACAATAGCATATCCACACTCTCTTAGAATGAAAATGGCCAGAAATTACTCATCTGGCATGACGATTGGCTATGCAGACTGGGGGATTCTAAAGGTTGTGAGGCAAAAGTAACTTTTCCAACTGTGCTCTGATTGGCGACACGTAATAACATCAAAGACATGAGCCATTCTCAGCTCTGCTTTCTCATAATATTGCTAACTGGATCTGCTAGGCACTGAGACAGCCTATTCTCCATTCAAACCATGAGCCCCACCACATACACACTGGACTTGGTGAGACTTAGTTTGTGCCCAACAAATCCTCACAACCCATGCCTAGGCTTAAACTCCACAACATTAGATTTATGAAGGAACATGAAAGTGCCTATGAGAATATGCAGAGTGCTTTTTCCGTTTCCCATGATCAATAGAACTAAACCACAAATGCTTGCTATTACAAGAAAGGGTTTCTAGATCAAAAGTTAAATTTGGGGGACAATCTTAAGAGACTAATACCTCTTATTTTGGATAAAAAAACATAGGAACTTGTGGTTGACCAACTATTGTCTTGTGAACTCAATGTTACTATGTTCTGTATCAATGCTGTCCCACTGATTTGGTACTGCAAAGTTAAATTACTTATTGGACTTATATCTCACTTTACTCTGAAGAGAACAAACCAAAACTGTATTATTATTATTATTATTATTATTAACTTTATTTATACCCTGCCTTTCTCCCCACAGGGACTCAAGGCAGCTAACAATCCCACACTTTGGTCATAGTTTAAAAAGCACAGAACAAAATAAAAAAAAACAATTATATAATAGTGTAACTTAAGGTAAAAAAAACAATTAAAATGTAACAAATACACTTAAAATAGCCTTTAAAACTCTCTCACACACCCCTACACATACACACACCAAGTGCATGTGCTGCGCAGCAAGTACTATCATAACACTGTTTATATGTGAAATGTCATGACAGGATCTGATAAGGTCTGGAACTGGATGAGATAGTCTAGGAGAAAGTTCCCACTGTGGCGCACTCCAAGCGTCATCCTAGAAGCTACAAAATCCAGGAAAGGTGCAGAACTAGGTGGTCCATTGCTTCCTCATTGCAGACATAGGTCAACTATAGATCCCATTGTATCATCCAGGAGCTGAGATGGTAATAAACTTAAGAGGAAGCCCAGAATTCAGCATCACAAGATGTCCCATCTCCAACCCTCTATTAGGGAAAAGGGAACCGAAAAATATAGTTGCTCTGAATGAGACCTCTATTTCCAGTCAGGTTTGGGCCACTGTAGAAAAGCTCTAATCCCTTCAACAGTTTTTTGGCTGTTTTTAGTGCAACATCGCCTTTTGACCAGGTTCTCCTCGAGTTTCTAGTATGAACAGCTGCCACGCTCATTCAGAATGTCTTGCCCAGTACCTATTCCTGCAGCCTTTGCCATGCTGGACACCTCCTTAGCATGTTAAGGAAAATTGCTAGAAATAGGAGATTGGAAATGGTAAAAAAAATCTAACAAGAAACACCCAAAAGTACCAGCCCACAATGGAAAATAAAAAGATGCCTAAGAAAGGTGGAGACCTTGAATGTCATGGCGGAATGAACACACAGTTCCAAGAATGGTTTAGAACACTAATACTAGAAGAAAGAAGGTGCTTTTTCTTTCTATTACTACTCTCAGTTCATCCTCATTCAGCAGTCTGCAGGAAAATACATTTTTGAAAAATTCCAGTAAATTTTCTGGAGCTATAATCCAACTTTAGTTCTAGTACATAATGGCTAACATTATCATGGTCAGTCCCAACTACAGTAGACCCATTTAATCAATTGTTGAATGGCAAGTCAACATGTAGGTGAATCCCATGGATGCAATGGGTCTAACACTATTGGTTTAGAACACTAACTAGTAATACATAATAACAGAATTGTTTGGTCATGCTAGGAACCAACATGATCTTGCATCTCGAGGCACTTTGTGTCAGCTCTTCCACCCCAGCCTTAATCCACGATATGAAGGCAGCAATAGCAAAACATACCACCCACTGTGGAACAGCTCGTGAGAAGTAAAATGGGTATGAAATTAATTTCAACAAGAAAGAATTAATCTTAACACAAGAAAGCAGCAAAAGACATCCACAAATTAAAAATGCTTTCAGCGCTATCAAAGCAACAAAGCACACAAGAGAAACAGGAGACGTGATCTAGTGCAGACATTCCATACCGTTTCACGTGAGTCTCGCTCCTTGGAGTTGCTTTAAAGCAGAATCCACCTCCTCAGCAACAAAGCCCAGGGAATTCCTAGCTTGATGAAAACTGTCAAGGAAAAGAAAAAAGCATTCAATAACTGGCAACCACAACGGGAATTAATCTGTTTATAAAAAAACAGATCAAATTTTCATAACAAAGGCTCCTAATGGTTTTAGCATAACTTTGGGATACAAAGCCGATTCTGTTGTATCAAATCAGATCACATGCAAAAATAGAAAAGTTTTATGTCATAATCCCTTTTCTGGATCTTGGGAAAATCTGTAACATTTTAATAATCACACCAGTTTCATTGGACTATGAGCAGGGTCAACTGGATTCAGATCATCACAGATTTGGGTCAGTCTCTCTTTTCTTCTCTCCCTCTCTCCATCTCTTTCTCTCTGTCTCTAATCTAATAGTGGAGTTGTAAATATAAGTCAGAGGAAAGAATATATATTCTGCTCTGTTTGTCTTAAGGAAGGCCACAATGAATGCATAGATAGTTAAGGTAAAGTAAGACCCCATATCTGTGCAGGATACATTCCCAGACAGACTATGGACACAACCAAATCTATATAAATAAAAATGTAATATTAGTTTGTGGGATTAACATAACTCAAAAATCACTGGATGAATTGACACCAAAATTGGACACAACACACCTATCAGGCCAACGAGTGGCCATCACTCATAAAAACACTGAAAAACACAGCAGAAGGGACTTAAAAAGCCAAAAAAGCAAAAAGAAGCTACAGCGCATGTGCAAAATGACCTCCCCTGGCAAATAAAACACACAATAGCATATCCACACTCTCTTCCAGACTACAGCTTCCAGCATCCCCTAGACCAGGCCCTTTAGGAGAGGAGGAGGATCCAAATGCACTGCTTCCAAGCTGCAAGCTTTCTTCTCCTTGGATTTCTTTGAGAGCATCCCAATCCCTGCATGTTTCCAATTCCCTATTCCTGAACTGCAACTTCCAGCAATCCTCCAAATAGATAAGATAGTTAGATTAGATAGAGATAGGTAGGTAGGTAGACAGATTGATTGATCAGGAGGACTGCTGGGAGTTGCAGTCCAATAATAGGTAGGGAAGAAAGAATGGGGAGAAAGAAGAAGGGAAAGAAAAAGGGAGGAAACACAAGAGAAAGAGAAGGAAGGAAAGAGAGAATGAAAGGAAAGAAGGGAAAGAAGGAAGGAAAGAGAGAAGGAAGGAAGGAGAGAAAGAAAGGAGGAGAGAAAGAGGGAGGGAAGGTCGGCTACAGCAACGTGTGGCAGGTACAGCTAGTACTATATAATCATCTCAATCCTGGATCCAACATACCATAGTATTGCATTGGAGGACCTTGTGATTTCTAGACTGGCATCCTATGACAACTAACAATCTGCATAACCAGGATACTGAACTAGATGGATTTTTGATCTGATCCCTATATGGTCCTATTTCACTCCCCCCACCCCCTCACTCCATTAAGAAATTAAAACCAAAATATGGAATTTGAAAACTTTACTCAGACTGTTCACACCATATTTGCATTGAGTTTGCGTGTGTCTACTCCGCAGAATGAACACAGTTTTACATCGCTTTAATTGCCATGGTTCAATGATATGGGACTACAGAATCCCAGGATTCCCCAGCACCAGGCAATGGTAATTACAGTGGTGTCAAACTGCATTAATTCTACAGAGTAGATGCATCCTCTGACTGCAGATTTAGCATGCTTTCTTAATAAATCCTCTTAGACACCTCTGGGTTAATTAATAGTACAGTAGTAACAAGAGTCATGCCCACTGAATCCCAGTGTAACTAATTCCCCCACAGATAACTCCAGCCTCCCATCACATCATCACAGGATGTAGCAGATATAAGACAGGAAGACAAAGTTGCTCAGAATTTAAGGAGAAGGCATAATTGACAGATATTGCCACTGAAAGGTCTAAACTGTCTTGATGCCCATGGCTGAGGAACATGACCAGCAATCAAGCTGTCTCCTCTGTGTGGATATTTTCTGAAAGGTCTTTGCATAAATCCCTCTCTCAGAAAAGAGTGGAGTTCTCTAATGCTGGAATTGGTTTGGAGAGAAATCTTATTAGCTTTCAGTTTCACTTAATGTTTCTTTTGAGGCTCTTCATCACCGTCCCAGCAGCCGACTCACATACACTCTGCATTCTAAAATCACGGCATAAACACCAGGTTTTACAGAGAATTCAGGATTTGGAGCACACGGATGATATGCTTAGGCTCCTGTGACACAGGAGAGCTTTTCACCAGGGTTTTGTGAAGCTAGAACAATCCTCCTTGAATACGGTAGCAGCCCATCCATAAAGATGGGGCATCTGAAAAGGTCTCAAGGTCTGCAAAGAAATGTAGCTGCTGCTGTCGCAGCCACAGTCAAAGACAGGATGTTGAAACGTGAGGCCCTTTCCCAATGAATAGTGATAAAATACTGTTAAAGTCATGGTCATCATCTTGCATTCTACATACCAGTTCAAAATACCAAATGGATATGCCAACAAAATTAAATACATCTATATCTATATCCATAAGAAAAGTGAAAATGTATATGTGTGTATGTGGCTAGGGTGCCCATTTCCACAGACATGCTCCCACTTCCATAAACAGCTTTAACCCACGGTGTTGAGAAGCCACCAAAAGCCCTCCCTCCAATGACATTACAGGTTATAGTGAGTGCCATAAACATGTAGTCCAACTCCTGCCAATGGCCTCCCCAAACACTATACTGCCCACCATCCAAGGAATACTTTCATTCGGGGACAATTTCATCCTAGATTTTACCTGTTTCCTCCATCATAGACATCACAGTGTTCCTTATTCTCTCCATTGGTGTGGAATTTGCATGATCCCACCCACTGCCTCTCCCTTAACCCTTTCCTACTCTTTTCAGCTCTGTCTGCACAACAAACAGAGCAGAACTAATCAGCAACTAAACATACTGGAGGGATTTGGGGGATTGACTCCACATGAGTTGTAGTTTACCCTGCATCAAGTCAGCGCACTGTTACCCCCACTGACAAAGGACCTGGACCACACTTGACACACAGAACCCCCAAGGCCAAAGAAAAATACAGAGAGGTCTGGGGGAATTCACCTTGATTTATAGCAGTTGTATAGTTCACTTGCAACCAAAGAGCACTCTGGACCCCACCAATGATGGCCCTGGACTTAACTTGGCATACGAAACTAGCCATGACCATCAAAAATGCAGGAGGGCTTTGGGAAAAAAATTCACCTTGATTTATAGGAATTATAGTTCACCTACATCCAGAGAGCACTGTGAACACAAACAATGATGAATCTGCACCAAATTTGGCAAGCGTACCCGAAATGCCAACATTTGAATACTGGTGGGTTTTGGGGGGAATTGGCTTTGACATTTGTTAGTTGTAGGTACTGGGATTTATAGTTCACTTGCAATCAATCAGCACTCTGCACCTCACCGATGATGGACCTGGACCGAACTTGGCACACAAAACCCCGATTAGCAACTGAATGTACTGGAGGGATTTGACAGGACCGACCCACCATGGTGAGAGTTGTAATTCATCCTGCAGCCAGAGAGCACACTGAACTTCGCCAGTGATGCATCTAGAGCAAACTTGCCCAACATGGCAAACTTTAAGTATTGATGGAGTTTCAAGGGGTTAACCTGGCATGATGTGAGTCGTAGTTCACCCACAACCGTATGCATTTTGTAAAATAAAGAAAAAAATATTTTTTCAAATAACGAGGGCAATGCCAGGTATCCAAGCTAGTACTAAATATTTCCCATCTAGATCATGAGCTGAACAGGTGTGAGTTGTACTGCTTCAAGAGTATGAATAAACCTGCAGCACTCATGATGCCAACAGAACAAAGACTGTGTTTGTACAATCACAATTTTCCAATGGCCAAAATCCTGTTGGGCATCTATGATCAGAACTTAAATGTAAATGATTTTACAACTGTACACAACTACTTTATCTATAAATCTATCTATCTATCTATCTATCTATCTATCTATCTATCTATCTATCTATCTATCTATCTATCTATTTTTGCATGCTAGCTCATTTATAGAGGAAAAAATGTACAGAAGGAAATGCAGAGTACAATTGGATTTCTAAAAAAACACAATAGAAGCTGCATAAAAGAACAAGAGATAAAACTACAAGGTAAAAGACCTGCGAAAATGAAACAGGATTTGTCTGACATTGAAAAAAACATCAGGTTAGACAGAAGGAGAAAGTCATTTCAAGACTTAAACCATCACTCTGTAAATTGGAGTGGTGGCTTTGGGAAATATTTTCCTAAAAACACTGTGACAGCACCATCATTCCACTTTACTTGCCATGGTTGCATCCCATGGGATTCTGGGGTTTGTAGTTTAGTAAAGCCCAAGAACTCTCCCTAAACTGCAAGTCCCAGGATTCCGTAGAATGTTGTCCTAGCAGTAAAAGTAGAATAATAGCGCTATTGCACCATAGTGGGATAAGGACGTGAGACCCCGAGAAGGCTCTATCTTCCAAATATGGAACTTGTGGCAGCTCAGGACCAGAAGGGCAAAAGGGTGATTCCGATCAGGAACACACATTTATGCCAATATGTCGGAGAAGAAGGATAAAGAAAAGAAGGCAGCTGCACAGTGTGTTTGCATGCAAGAAGTGTATTATCATGCTGCCTCCAGGTTCCCTTTCTTTGCTCTTGGCTGCCATCCATTTCGATGTCATGATCCACACCAGGACGGGGGATGCAGAGTGCCTGACATTTAATAAAACACAGCCATAGTTCATTATAAAGCGAGGCTCCCTTTCCAATGATATATTTTTATTGTGGATTTTAATCAAACATCTTACAGTTTTCAGATGAGATAGGTGGAGAGAATAACTTTAAAAGCCATAATAGATTTCCTAATTGCTTGTTCTCTGTCACTTGTAGCTAATTACCCCAGCCACACTGTTGTAGACTCTGGATTTCTTTTTTTCAAAACTCATTCAACCAAAGAACACCCTCAATATTTAAAGAAAATACAATTAAGCCATCCCTGTGACAACAACTGTCTCCAGCAAC